AGAGGGTCTGGGGCCTGTGCAAATAAGTGACAATAGTGATGGGCTGTGGGGTCCAGGCCACTGAGAGGAACGGAGTGCACTGGGAGGTACAAATGGGGGGCAGTGAAAACACAGTGGGATCCACATATTTAGGTCCCAGTGAAACTGAGGAATTACTACAGTTGGAGCTACCATGTGGATTAAGTTATAAACACAGGTTAGGGTGTGAAAGAGCTGCATGCTGGTAACGACAAGGCCCATGCTCTGGGCACACGGGAGGGAAGAAAAGATCCAAGGGTCCCTGACTCTACTTAAATATCGATTCCAAATCCCACATTAACACATAATTACATTCTACACATTTTTTAGTTTCTGACAAGAAAATAAACAAGAATCTAAGATGTTAGGCTCTAGGGCAGACTTTCTCAAATGGGGTCTGTCATAGACAATGATTTAGATAAATATTTTTTCAATTATCCCAATGATGAAAAATAGCTTGTACTACTCTAATGGCTAATGGAATAGAGATCAGTCAGATCAAGACACACAAGGACATGTTACATTAATTCTCATGAAACCCTGAATGAGAGAGGTAGAGAAAAATAGCCTCAGAATCAAAGAGGTATGATTCCCCCCCCCCCTTTTAACCTTTACCTAAATAACAAACTTATTCCATCTGGATCACTTTCTAATCTGCAAAGAACTTTTACATGCATATCTCACGTGACTGTCACAACCACCAGTTGAGATAAGCAGGCAAGCAATTACATTTCTCATTTTCTTGAGGAGGCAAGAGGCAGACATGTTAAGTGGTTTGACCATCCTAAGTGACGGGTGGGAAGTAAAGGTCTTCAGGCTCCTCGTCCAGTACACCATCCACCACTCACAACTTCAAGTTAACGGTCTTTCTCAAGCTGAGTACCCCCCTCTTTAAATCGTACCGCTTACACACCCTCCTACTCCCTGTACTGTGCCTGTCTTTCTGATTCTCCACCAGACCTCAACTCCTGGGAGACAAGACAGTACGTTTTCAGTATCTGTTTTTCTAGGACTTAACTCAAAAATATTAATGTAAAGAAAGAAAAAATGTATAGAATAACCTATTAGAAGCTAAAAGTTTGTAGACAGTAAATATTGTGTGTATTTGGGATTTGAGGCAGTTATTCAAGTGGAGTCAGAGACAAAATAATTGGATTCCGGAAACAGTTTCATTGGGGAAAATCTGAAGTCATGGTTAGGCTTGGACAGAAACACTAAGAAGAAAGATGATCGCTATTTTTAATATCTCAAGCTCTTACATAAAAGGGAATGTTTCATGCTTTTCCAAAGGCAGAAAAGAGCATCGACAAACAGAAGCTGCAGTGGGAAAATGTGGGTTAATATTAACTAGGCCCGAGAATGTCTCCTCTCAGAGGTAATGACCATCACTGAAGGGACCAAATAGTTAGTGGAACACTCAGCATTTTTAGTGGAGGGAGTACCCAGCTTTGGGGTTGAGAGAGGTCAAGTTATCACTGTAAATCTATAGTAAGCAAGACAAACTAGGATTCTCTTCAAAGAGGGGTATATAGTCTGGTTCAATGCAAAACGTGACTTTTTTACACTTGATCTTAGCCAAAAGGCCGAGAAGCGATGTGACTTTTTTTTTTTAATACCATCTTATTGGTACTTAAACATTAATTTTGGTTTGAGCATTGCCCATTTATTCTGGACATTCTTTTATATATTTCAATACAGATATAGATATTATGCATTTTAAGTAACTTAATTACAGAAAAATTACTCTAGGATTTACTCACTTCTCCCACAATATATTTGCTTCCTCCTTGTAATAGGACAAAAAAAGAACATGGGCCTTTTAAGTCCAGCATGTATCCTTTTCCTCTTTTTTGGAGTCAAAGTATATTGCCAATATGAAAATTATCAATGGGATGAAGATTATGATCAAGACCCAGATGATGTCTACCAACCAGAATTCCAATTTCATCCAAATGAGGACTTTCAAGTTCCTTTTCATCAGCAGGTGTTAGGCTGTGCCACTGAATGCTTCTGCCCACCCAACTTTCCGTCATCAATGTACTGTGAAAATCGCAAACTCAAGACTATCCCGCATGTCCCAGCACACATACAGCAGGTCTACCTTCAATTCAATGAAATTGAGGCTGTGACTGCAGATTCATTCATCAATGCAACTCATCTTAAGGAAATCAACCTCAGCCACAACAAAATTACATCTCAAAAGATTGATCATGGTGTGTTTGCTAAATTGTCAAATCTACTACAACTTCACCTACAGCATAACAATCTAGAAGAATTTCCACTTCCTCTCCCTAAGTCTTTGGAAAGACTTCTTCTTGGCTACAATGAGATCTCCAGGTTGCAGACAAATGCCATGGATGGGCTAGTAAACTTGACAATGCTTGATCTCTGTTATAATCATCTTGAGGATTCCATGTTACAAGAAAAGATACTTGCCAAAATGGAAAAATTAATGCAGCTCAACCTATGTAATAACAGATTAGAATCAATGCCTCCTGGTCTGCCTTCTTCGCTTATGTACCTGTCTTTAGAAAATAATTCAATTTCTTCTATACCAGAAAATTACTTCAATGAACTTCCCAAACTTCAGGCTCTACGAATGTCACACAACAAACTACAAGACATCCCATATAACATTTTTAATCTTTCCAACCTAATAGAGCTCAATGTTGGACACAACAAACTGAAGCAAGCATTCTATATTCCAAGAAATTTACAACACCTATACTTAGAAAATAATGAAATTGAAAGTATGTAAAATTTCATTATCTTTTTTAAAGACCAAGAGAATAGTATGTTGACCTTTTAAAATGTTTTTGAAGATTTTTATTTATTTGAGAGAGAGAGACAGCGAGAGTGAGCATGAGTGGGGAGGAGAGAGAGAGAAGGAGACTCCCCGCCGAGCAGAGAGCCCAATGCAGGACTCAATCTGAGGACCCTGGGATCATGACCTGAGCCCAGACTGAGCCACCCAGGCGCCCTATGCTGACCTTTTAAAGAATCAATCTTTGAAAAAAATCTATGCTTTACATAAAAATAGTTGATTTGAAGTAGATAGGGAAATGGCCAAAGCTGGCCTCAGGAAGGTGTGCTATAAAGTTTTATTTTCTTTTTTTGTTTTTAGATTTTATTTATTTGACACAGAGAGTGAGTGAGCACAAGCAGGGGAAGCAGGAGAGCTTAACTGTCTGAGCCACCCAGGCATCCAAGTTTATAGCCTTTTTTTTTTTTTTAAGTTTTATAGTCTTTTCTAATAAATGTTATCACCTTGAACATTGACAAGTAGTACTGAGAGTATATGAAAAAATAGGAGTATCCTGAGCAGTTGGGACTATAGGTGATTTTTACTTTTTTCTTTTTGAGATTTCTACCAAGAATTTATTATGTAACAAATAAACAGCCAACAAAGCCATCATGTTTTATTTTAATTCCAGTATAGTTAGCACATAGTGCTGTGTGAGTCCCAGGTGGACAATACAGTGACTCAGCACTTCCACACATCACCCGGTGCTCATCAGGACAGGTGCGCTCTGAAAGCCATCATTTACTTTGAACATATAACTCATCTGTAGTTTCATTTTCTTCATTTTATTATTTGATTACTGTAAAAACCAATTAAACCTAATTCTACCTATAAGTATTTTAATAAGACTGTATCTCATATTTTAATAAAATCCAATGTAGGATTCTAGATGTAATGCAGCAGGATTAATCTTTAATTTGTATTTTTCAGATATCAATGTTACAGTGATGTGTCCATCTGTTGACCCACTGCATTACCACCACTTAACGTACATTCGTATGGACCAAAATAAGCTAAAAGAGCCAATAAGCTCATATGTTTCCCTCTGCTTCCCTCATATACACACTATTTATTATGGTGAGCAAAGAAGCACTAATGGTCAAAAAATACAACTGAAGACCCAAGTTTTCAGGAGATTTCAGGATGATGCTGATAGTGAAGAACATGATGATCACCAAGAAGGTCCAGAACAAGAAGCAACAGAAGAAAACACTGACCCTCACTATTATGGAAATCAAGAATGGCAAGAAACAATATAGGTATACATTTACGATTTTATACGATATTATTATTCAATATTAATTTAATTAAACATGGAAGGCTAACAGTAATGTATCTAGAATCATGTATAAGATCAGACTGAATTTAAATTGTTAACATTTGCATCATTACATAGGATTCAAACTTACTTAAAATGATATAAGTCTTTAGAAATATAAATTAGAATAACAAGTGGGAATAAAAAACTAAACTTTAAACATAAAGTATTATCAAGCTGAGGAAAAAAGCAAGTATGCCATCGCTAGTGATATTAACTGTTCTAAGAGTGATAAAAGCAGCAGCACTAGAAGCCAAGAACTAGAGGAGGTCAGGGCTGAGATGCCCAGGCTTACGTTCCTGTAACGCGCAGCCATTCACTTAAGAGTAAATTATTTTCTTTGACCTGATCTCCAGAAAAGCTTTCACACTTGTATGTGAAATCTTATCACCATGACATCCACCTCCCATCCACCATCCCCACCTACCACTGAGAGCAACAGAGGATGCTTCTGATTTTCAAAAGAGGTCATTCTGTTAAGGATCCAAGACTTGTAGTTTCATGAAATCAGTAGGTCTTTGTATTTCTCTCAGAGCTCCAAAACAACAAAATTCTAAAACCTGTATTTGGGTCACTATAAACCACCAAATTGTCTCATCACAATCCATATTTTAGCAGATTTCAGCAATTGTTCAAAACAATTTTAACTGAGATAAATGTTTTTATAGTAAACTCACTAGGGAAAGTTTTTTGTTGTTGTAGTTACATAGAGATTTGCTAATAAATAACTGCTTTGCTCACAAGGTTAATTTAGCACACAACAATATACCAGCTTTATTAAAACACTTCCATTTTCCTAGCACGATATAGTAGAAACATATATGTGCACCAGCCAGTATTTATTTAATTAGTGCTAAAGTTGAATAGAGTTCCTTTATAATTTGGACAAGCTTTGATATCTTCTTTAAAACATTAGATGCACCTATTATTTTAATCTATCATTTTGAAGTATTTTAAGTATGCCTTGTAATGAAGGTGATGGAAGTGCTATGATGAGCTCTCCTGAGCTATCAGCTGACATTTCACAGAGTTCCTCAGATGAGGAAGAGAGATGGGGCGACCTACACAGGGAACCCAAACAATAAACATTAACAATGTGGACAACAGGCCAGGACCAGACAAGTAAAACTTTACTGTAAGAGTTTTCAACTGGTGAGTCTTTATTTTACAGGACATAAAGTGTAAAATGAAGCCCCTAATGCTCTTTATTTCTTTAAGTTATTAGCATTAGCAGAAACAAAACACCTAACTGTCCCCAAGGACAAGCTCAGCAATTCAGAATGAACACAAACAACACTCCATTCATTCATTTAATTAACATTCATCAAGGCATTTGGTGTGTAGGGCTTAGCAATAAGGGCAAGAAACAGAATGTACGCGCACCCTTGGCATCTCAAGTTACAAGGGTGAGGGTAGCAGAGCAAAACGCTAGTAATGTGGACAAAGCACACTTTCAACAGAGGTTAAAAAAAAAAAAAAAAGGAAGGGAGGGAGAAAATTTAAGGACCACCTCCCCCTTTATTGAAATTCTTAAAAATAGGCTTATAAATTTAAATATTATGAGCTAATACTGGAAAATACTACGGGTATTTCAGGAGATAAAAAAGATACAACTATCTCTAACGCAAAACAATTTAAAATCTAATGAGAAGCCATCAGGGAAACGCCAATGAAAACCCTAATGAGAGACCCTTTCACACTCACTGGGATGGCTAGAACCAAAAAGACAGACACAGAACAGATGTTATTAGCAAGGAGGCAGAGAAAGTAGGGCTCTCATATACTGCTGGTGGGATGTCCAATGGTGAAGCTGTTTTGGAAAGCAGTCTGTTAGTTCAAAATTTAGAGTCACTTATGATGCAGCAATTCCACTCCTAGATACATCCTCAAGAGAACTAAATGCATATGTTCACACAGAAACATGTAAACAAATGTTCAGAGCAGCACTATCCATTAGGAGCCAAAAAGTGGAAAGCACCCAAATGTCCATCAGCTGATGAATGGATAATTAAAATGTGGTATACATACAGAACGGCATATTATTCAGCCAACAGAAGAAATGAAGTACTGATATGTCATGCTACCAAATAGATGAACCAGGAAAACATCTCACGAGGTGAAAACCCAGTCACAGAAGACTGCGCATAGTATGACTCCATTTAAATGAAATGCTCAGAACACACAAATCTGTAAAGAGAGAAAGATCCCTGGTTGCCTGGGGCTGCGGGAGGGGAAGGGAGGGAAAGTGGGGAGTGACTGTTCATGAGCAGAGGGTCTGTTTTTGAGGGAATAAAAATGTTCTAAAACTGATTGTGATGACGGCTGTACAAATCTAAAAATACTAAAAATTATTGAGTCGTAGATTTTAAAATGGTGAACTGTATGAGGTGTGGATTGTCTCAATAAAGCTGTTAATAAAAAATCTAACGAAGAAAATAAGATCAACTCATTCTAACACAAGGAAGAAAGAAATACAATGCTAACACGGCAGTAACTATGAAAAGACTATGGGAGCACAGACAGATATCTGAACTTTATTTCTGGTCAGGACGCAGTGAAGTAGCTCCAGGTTTCCAGAAGAGGTGGTACCTTGATGTGTGAGCAGGAACTGATTGGCAGGAGTGGAGACACAAGCTCCCGAGGTGAGATGAATATAAAGACATGGTCATTACTTCTTTCTCTTCTTGCACAGTTTAAAAAACAAAAAACCCTCCTATTTTCAGAATTCTGGAGCTTCTATCCTTTCATTCTCCTAAAGTGATTTTTTAAAATCCCCAGAGAACAGGCTTTGTTAAGAATAAAACTGCACAATTTAGCAATTGGAAACAAGGAACGTGAAATCTGATAAGCCCTGGCAGAAGCCAGACTTGAGACTCCTAAGCCAGATGCCAGACTAAGATCTGGAACTCTGAAGCTCCCCTTCCTGCATTCCTACAAGGAAGCTGGTTCTCCTAGGGCTACTAAAAGAATAAATAGAATTCGTCTAGGTAACAGAGCAATGAACAAAGTGCATGCCAGTTCCAGGTACCCAACAAGCAGTAACTAGTACTTCAGCACGGCCAGCCTAGCAGCCTGCTAGATCTGTGTGCCCCCAGATGTCAGACCTAGGTGTGTTCTCAGGGACCCTAGAAAGGAACCAGCATCTTCATGGTTCCTTCCAAGATTCTATTCGTACCAAAGATGAGTGAACAAGGGAGATTTTACTAAAGGTTTTCTTAGGGAGAGAGTAGAAGGTACTTACATCCTATACCCCAAACAAACATACTCTAGGTCACTATTTGCTAGTTCAGCTTTCCAGAGCACCCTTAGACAGCCTGCCAGGGCGGGGAACACAGTTCCCTCCACCTCCTCCCTGGGCACCGTGCCCTGGTTCCTCTGGCTAGAGTAGCTCCTCCAGCCTAATTGGAAGGGGTCAATTCTGCTCTGGCTCCTCCCTCCAAAGGGGTGTGTATGTAAATGGTCAGCCAGCTGCAGGGCCCAATGAGGAGGCAGGTTAACAACCATCTTTTGCTACTTGAAAATGGCCCTGAGGAACTCATACCCATCCCAAGTATTTCTCATTAAAAAACAAAATGAAACCCAATGCTTTCCTTAAGAGAAATTGAAGAATAAAGTTAGTACTTCTTTAAGGAGCACATCAAGATTGCACAATTATCTACCACAACTACAGACAAAACCAGTTCGTCTGATATTTACAGTAGGGGAAAAAATGAAAATTCATCTATTTTCTCATTACGCTTAAAAGTATTAGTTAGCTACTAGGCTGAACTGTATCTGTGACCACTGACAAATGAATCCAAATCACTCCATGAACCAGGTTTGATGAGGGAACAGAAGGCAAGCTGAGGACAAAGCAGAAGCTGACACCCCACAACACCACCCCCCCATGGGATATATGTGACATTCCTCTGGCACGCCTGGCTGCCCTAAAGGAAAAATAGTTAACTTACAGAGATCACAATCCTACAAGACAGGAGTCTCCCTCAGTTTACAAATGTCTTAGCAATCTACAAGAACAAAGCATTCCTATCATCAGTAACCTAGCTTCCGGAAGGAAATGTAGATACAATTAAATGCCCTTATACCCTGCAGCCCATTGAGAGATAACTGAAGTGGGCAGAGTTTAATGTTCCTCCAGGAAGTTCCAAACTATCTTAATGTCAATGCCTTACTAGAGGGGTAAACAACCTCAACTTGACAATGGCAAGGCCTCTGGTATCTTGTAGGTCCTCTTTAGCATATGAAAGTTCTTTGGAAACCTCCCTTTTTGCTAACTACCCCCAACCCAATAGTATATAATCAGCCACTCCTCACAACCCCGGGGGCAGCAGCTCTTTCTGCCCTCGGGTCCTGTCCCCATGCTTTAATAAACCACCATTTTGCACCAAAGATATCTCAAGAATTCTTAGTTGTGGGTTCCAGACTCCACCCCACTGAACCTCACCTATACTCCAAAACCCCATCAGGTTTAGTTAACAAACAAAAGCATAATATATGATTAGCTTTTAGAAAGGATATAAAAATAAAGTCTATTTCATAAATTTGCTCACAATAAAACTGGTTGAGAATGTTTACCTTATACTTACATATTACCTGAAACACTCTACATTTTCCCTTTATTCCTCTGGTTGGGCCCACTAAATAAAGTGCAGATGTGTGCATATCATGTAACACACTTAACCAACTCCAAGGGGGAAAAACAAGAAATAAACCTAGTCTCTCCTGTATACTGTTACTGGTGCAAAGAATTCACAGGACCCAAACGACGGCTAGAACTAAAACCCTGGTTTCCTGATTCCAAATCCATTTTTTTCCCCTATTCTTGGAAATAAAGTATAACAGCAGCTGGAAACAAAATTAAACCATAACAGCTAAAAAAAACCCTAAAGTTTCTCATATGTTCCAAATTCCTAAATAAATATAACTATGCCTAGCAAGTAAATATCACAGTCTCATAGAAATTACGTGGAACTTATATTACTTTACAGGCTTAGTTAGGCTGTGAATTTACTACATGGGGATTTAGGTACTACTTGGAAAAACTCACACGTACAGTAAGTTTTTAACATGAATCCTTCCTCACATCAGGTCATAACTCCTCCCCCATTAAAGTTCACCCTTTGGTCTGGTAAATACTTGGGTTCTCACTTTATCTCACC